CTTTCTATGTCTAAGATATATAATCAATGTCATCTACTTTCTACCTATGGTCTAGATACTATCAATCAATGTCATCTACTTTCACCATGGTCTAGAATACTATCAATCAATGTCATCTTACTTTCACCATGGTCTAAGAATACTATTAATTAATGTCATCTTACTTTCACCATGGTCTAAGAATACTATCAATCAATGTCATCTTACTTTCACCATGGTCTAAGAATACTATCAATCAATGTCATCTTACTTTCACCATGGTCTAAAAATACTGTTAGTCGATGTCATCTTACTTTCACCATGGTCTAAAAATACTGTTAGTCGATGTCATCTTACTTTCACCATGGTCTAAGAATACAAGTAGTAAATGTTATTTTACTTTCACCATGGTTTAAGAATACTATTAGTCAATGTCATTATACTTTCACCATGGTCTAAGAATACTATTAGTCAATGTCATCTTACTTTCACCATGGTCTAAGAATACAAGTAGTAAATGTTATTTTACTTTCACCATGGTTTAAGAATACTATTAGTCAATGTCATTATACTTTCACCATGGTCTAAGAATACTATTAGTCAATGTCATCTTACTTTCACCATGGTCTAAGAATACAAGTAGTAAATGTTATTTTACTTTCACCATCGTTTAAGAATACTATTAGTCAATGTCATTATACTTTCACCATGGTCTAAGAATACCATTAGTCAATATCATCTTACTTTCACCATGGTCTAAGAATACCATTAATCAATGTCATCTTACTTTCACCATGGTCTAAGAATACTATTAGTCAATGTCATCTTACTTTCACCATGGTCTAAGAATACAAGTAGTAAATGTTATCTCACTCTCACCACTGTCTAGGGACAGCATTAGTAATAATGTTACTTAACTTTCAGAATTGGCTTAGGAGAGTATTAATAATAAATGTTACTTCAGGTTGTCTTAGGAAAATATTAGTCGTTAAAGTTATCTTACTCTTACCATTGTCTAAGGAGAATATTAGTCGTTAAAGTTACCTTACTCTTACCATTGTCTAAGGAGAATATTAGCAGTTAAAGTTATCTTACTCCCCATTGTCTAAGGAGAATATTAGCAGTTAAAGTTATCTTACTCTTACCATTGTCTAAGGAGAATATTAGTTGTTAAGTTATCTTACTCTTACCATTGTCTAAGGAGAATATTAGCAGTTAAAGTTATTTTAATCTCACAACAAACAGAAAAAATGTTAGTAGTAAATATTACTTTGCTGTCATCATGGTTTACTGGTAGCAGATATGACCTTATTCTTTGCATGATTAACATATATATATAGTAGTTATGGTAGGGTAATACATGATGTTTACATCAACATACACATATATTCTTCATTAAGTTTTGTATGCAAGTGAAAATATTTTATCATTATTGAACAGAAATGTCACAAAATGCTGTAAAATAAGAAATGCAGCAACATTTAAAGAGTGAGGAATGGGTGGTGGAACAATCTTTAAATCAATACATATATATACATAAATATAACTATGTGTAAGTGCAAGGAAAACCTATTAAATCATGCACAAAAGAAATATAGTGGTCTTTTATTAACCAAGCTAATAACATCAGTTAGTTAAGAAGAATAAGCTGTAGTTACAAGGAGTTTAAAATTCCAGTAGGCTGAATAAGGAAAGAATACACCCATGATCATGTGAAAAAACTTAATTCTTAACGACACTTGCTGCTGATATATTTTATGCAAGAGATAATGACTTCATTAATAATTAAAAAAAAACTGTTTTGTTCTGTGCTCTAGCTTTGATTTAAAATATTAACTTGGCAAAATATCAACAGGTTAGATGTGTCTAACCAACCTGAGCTGTACATCTAGAACTGGTGGTATGTACGTAGCTCAATTTGAATGTATACTTTAACTGGTGAGTTACACACTGGGCTGTACATCTAGAACTGGTGGTATGTACGTAGCTCAAATTGAGTGTATACTTTAACTGGTGAGTTACACACTGGGCTGTACACCTATAACTGGTGGTATGTACGTAGCTCAATTTGAATGTATACTTTAACTGGTGAGTTACAAACTGGGCTGTACATCTAGAACTGGTGGTATGTACATAGCTCAAATTGAGTGTATACTTTAACTGGTGAGTTACACACTGGGCTGTACACCTACAACTGGTGGTTGGTATGTAGCTCAAACTGAGTGTATACTTTAACTGGTGAGTTACACACTGGGCTGTACTGATGAAGCTTTGCATCTTTCAAATACTTTGACTTGACCAGAGCTAAGAACTTCTTTAGGGTGTAACCAAAACCAAACAATATTTATTGAACACATTATTTTAACTTGCCAATAGGACAACAATTCCATTTACACCTGACTGGCTGCTGAAAATACATCACAACATATCACAAGGCCAACAAAGCAAAGATTCATGCTCATATTGTTACTGAGTTTTCTTTTATATTGTTGTGCTCATTAACCATGTCATGTGTCTCATTGTTTCCCAGCTCAAATTGCATCTTATTATTTTTAAACATTTTGTAAATTTACTGCAACAATTCCACCTAACAAAGAACTTTTCATAAAACTGGAAACCTTGTGAGTCAATAAAACCTTTACATTTCAGCCATGTTTAAATGATATTTAAAACAATAATTGTTCTGAATAATCTAATTTGTTGTCATGTGTGTCAGTCATCACAGGGTTTGATGATTACAAGTAAAATCATGAACCAGTTCTTAACTCTGAAAGACAAAAACTAATATCACAAAGAAACAAAATAATATTTATAAAATACATTACAATACTATATTTACAGTCCTGATTGTCACATTTTGGGCCTGATTCCAAGATATATCAATCATTGTGGCCTAATCAGTTATTAGCTGTATTTAATATACTATTTCACTTTTAGTTAGGTTTATGAAGCTCATTCCACTATACTGTTGCTACTTAGATATGCATTTTTCTCTTTCTTTATTAATGAATTTTAGACAACAACTGACAAAGAACATAGACTAGAAACATTGTTAATAACTTTTGAAGTGTTGATGCTGAAGATGGATTCAGAAAAAATTCTGGAACTTTCATGTTCTTTATCCTATCTAGAATCTTGTAATTTTACATTTCTACTAAAGGAGTCTTAAACTTATTTTATGCAAACAATGTCATTTCATCAATAGTCACATGATACCCATTTGCTTGTAGGCAAAGGTACTTAGTTCAAAGCCTTTTACTGAGTAGAGTTTCCAAGTCAGTGTATTTCACACAATGATACAGTTTGTTGTGAATAAAAGTGGGAGATGTGGGAGTTTTAAAGACTTTAAGGCCACCTGATGTAAAAACATTTCCAATACTGAAAAGTCTGCTTACAAAATTCCATGACTTTCCAGAATTTTCATGATATATTTTCCATGAAATTGAGAAAGCTCACAGAATAATAGTTTAGGATAACAATGGGCCATGACATAATTCCTTAAGTCAATAAGAAGCTCATCTGTAGAGTTAAACCTATGATTATGAAAGAGAATCCTCCAGCCCCATAAAAAACCAAATGGCAATGATGCTGGGCATATCTCATGATAGCATTAACAGGATAATAAAAAAGTTTCTGAAGTTACAAAGGACTCAATAGCCTAAAACTTCCAACCATACCTCAAAACCCATTTGTTTTTGTAAGAAAAGGTGGATGAAGAAACTGAAAATACAGCAATACCATTCAAACACATAACTGAAAAGTCTCCCAAAGTAGCTCTGATAAGGTTTGTACCTTAGGACTGCTTAAAATAGCACTTGAAAGTAATAGATATTTGACATTAGTTTGAGAAAACTGCACAAGAGATATGGGACAGGAAAAAAAAGGTTTAAAAAGTAATTAATGAACAAAAACTATGTTTGCCTTCTAGTCTGATATGAAGATAAACTGTAAAGTAATGTACTTTTTG